GCAGAGAAGTGGCCAAGTTACCTAATCTTAATCTTAAAGTTTCTAACTTTATTACACACAATTTCAATGAAGTGAGAATAATGAAGACTGAGATCTACTCTGACAGAAATGGTTATAAATTTCCTTAAAGAAAGTGAATGTTTTTTTTTTTTAGCTGAGCCATCCCGCCACCTGTTGGCAGCTCACGGCTGCTCAGCTCGGGCTGACTCGAACCGCTGTTGCTCAGAGCTCAAACTCTTGAGCGAGCTCTTAACCAACTGAGCCACTCAGCCGGCCCAGAAAGTGAATGTTTATTAAAGTATGAGGTGTGATAAAAAAATATGCTGAATGTTTAAATTAAAAAAAAAATTGTAACAGTAAAAGACACATTGCCATTAATCCCCTTCAAAATACTCCCGCTCACTTCGAACACACTTACCCCATCATTCTTGACACTTTGTGAAGCAGTTCTGGAAGTCCTCTTTTTTGAGTGTCTTTAGTTGTGTTGTCATGGCCCCTTGATGTCCTGAATCAATTCAAAACATTTACCGTTCATGGTCATTTTGACTTTGGGGAAGAGCCAGAAGTCACACGGTGCCAAATCTGGTGAATAAAGTGGATGAGGACACAGTGTAATGTTTTTATTTGACAGAAATTGATGTACCAGAAGTGATGTGTGACACTGAGCATTGTCATGATGGAGGATGAAACCGTTTGCCCATTTCTCAGTCTGTTTTCTATGCACATAATTGCTTAAACGCTCTAATAAGCCTTATACTATTAAGAGTTCATCGTAGTGTCCCACGGTACAAACTCAGCTCACACAATTCCGTCAGGGTCAAAAACCACAATTAACATCACCTTTCCATTGGATGGCACTCAGCAGGCAGCAGCATTCACCGTATTTTTTTTATCACACTTTGTATATTAACATGTAAATGTAACTAACATTTATTGCATGACTGCTATGAATGTCACAAATTAGGCTGTTTTGGAAAAATTAATATTCCGATTTATTAATTATTGACATATAACCCATATATGGCTTATCAATTTTCAAACAATTTGACACAATAAGATAGATTTTAAACCATGCATGATTTTATCTTTGATGATTCAGAAATCACTATTTTATCGTGTAATATGCATAGTATGTTATGAAAATCAATTTACAGAGTACAGTACTACAAAGATTAAAAATGGGAGAGATGGATAGATACCCCTCCTAAATCTTTTTGATTTAATAGTAAATCTTTTTTTAATTTAATATTAAATTTAATTTAATATTAAAAATTATTATTTGACAATTTAATCTTTACCATAAAAATAGAGCTAAGGAAAATCATTCTGGTTATTTGTTCCACTGGCTTAGACCATGACTGGAAAAGAAATGAATGAGTTATAAAAAATGAATATGGTTAGATATAGGTAAATCAGACTGGTGAGGAAAAGACTCTAAAGATTTACCAGTGTACCTGGAGTAAAACACTTGCTCTGATCTAATGGTTAAAATGTGTGCATGCGAATGAGAACTGGAAAGTATCTTGTCTGCATTCACAGAGGAGTAGGCATGTATGTTCATTAAACCTGGGGAAACCACCAAGGGCAGAATCTGATCATATTATCATCTTTAAAAGCAGGAAATAAGATATTTTGAGTAGATTTAAGGTTCATTATAGAATATGGAAATTCAGGCCAGGAATACAGTAAAGTTTGTTGATATTTCCCATGCCATTTGATTATCTTACCCTTCCTGTGATGCCAGTTATTTTTTTTTTATTTCCGTGTTAGCAATTATTTTTTATATTCAAGTCACAGTACTCAGGATATTACAGCTTTTGATATTTGAATTTAATGTCCTTATAGGACAACTGCTGCATCCATTAGTTAGCCATCTGGTTTAGGGTAGCTTCCCTGCTATTTCTTTAGGCTTTCAAATTCTTGAAATGTTTTGTACTTAGGATCATTTGCATTTTAAATGTGTGCATGCACGTTCATGTATGTACTGACATCTTTCTGTAATAGTTCATTCTTTTAGAAATGAATGGAATGAAAGAATGCCTTCCAAGAGGGGTTAGTAACTGAAATGCCAAAGTGATCTCATTACAAAGTTTTGTGCCCAAGTGTATCAGTTTCTAACGACTGCTGTAACGAATTGCCACAAACTTGCTGGCGTACAATTGTGGAGGTCAGAAGTTTGAAATCAATCTCGTTGAACTGAAATCAAGGTGTTGGCAGGGCTGTGCTCCCTCTAGATGCTCTAGGAGAGACTCCTTTTCCTGGCCTTTTCTAGTTGCATTCTTTTTATTACTTGGCTCATGGCCCCTTCCTCTCTCTCCAAAGCCAGCACTTTAGATCTTGAGTCAGTCTTCATATTGCCCTCTGTCTCACTGTAGTTAAATCTTGTGGCTACATTTAGGACCCTCCCAGATAAGCCAGGGTATTCTCTCTACCTCAAGATTAACTTAATTATATATGCAACATCTCTTTTGCCATATAGGAGAACATCCAGTTTCCAGGTGTTAGAATCTGGATGTATTTGGAGGCCATTATTCAGCTGTGCAGGGAAGGGTGACCTCAGCAACCCTGAGTGGCTCAAATCCTATGCATTTCCAAAGTCTTCAGTGGTCCTTGGCCTGGCCTCTCTGGGAGATGATCTCTGAGTCCTGGGAGTATCCTACTTGATAGTTTTCTTTGTATATCATTTATAACGAGCACCTGTTTCTGTGCCTCTGAGGCTTTGAGCCACACTATCAGTTTGAGCTCTTGGATGGGGAGGACTGAAGACTGAGTAGCTAAGGTGAATCACACAGGTGCTGTATGCCTGTGTGACTAACCTCTAAGAAAATCTCTGGACGTGATGACTCAGGTGAGATGATCTGGTTGGCAACACTTTGCGTGTGTTGTCACACATTGTTATCAAGGGAATTATGCACTGTGCCTGCATGACTCCATGAGGAGATAGATGACAACTGGAAGCTGTGTCTGGATTTTTCTGGACTCTGCCCTCTGTGCCTTTTCTCCTTGCTGACTTTAATCTGTGTGTTTTCACTGCAGTAAAGTGTAACTGTGTGAATAACAGCTTTCCTGAGTCCTGTGAGTCCTTCCACCAAGTCATGGAGACTAAGGAGGGCCTTCAGGGCCCTCAACATATCAGCCTGCCACAGCAGCTTAGTCCAATAACATAGAATTCAGGCTGATGTTAGAATGAGGGGTTTTTGTTTGTATTCAGTATATTGTTCAAATACAATATATATAATACAGAAAAGACCGTCTTTGGTAAAACATTAATCTTAATTAAAGATTGAAACATTTCTGGTATACTTATACAAATACTGAGAGCCATGGAAATCAGATTCTGTATTATTGTTGCCTTGGAAAGAATGGAAAGACAGGGAAATATTATAATTCTCTACACAAATTTATAAGCTCGAACCTCATATAAATACATAGAAATATGATGCATGTTTCATAAGCTTAAAAATAAAATATATTCCTATAACCTTTTGAGAAATAACAGAAAAAGACTGACATTCAATTTATTGGGCTTTCATTGCCAATTCACCTGAATCCATGACAAAAGTAAGAAATAGACATGAATTAGACTATATTCCTCTTTGTGGCAATAACAATCTAATGAAATAAAAAATTATGTCAGAAAATTATTTCCTTTCTCTTGGAAGGAACTGGCATTTAGAAAAGTGCTTGAGATAATAAGTAAGACCCTGTAGGGTCTGGATTTTGGTGGAATGTTACTGAATGTAAAAAAGGAAAAAAGGAAAAGGGTGCATGCAAGAAGGATGTTTGTATCAGGCATTTCTCATTTTAACACTTTCAAATCTTCGGTAAAATAGAAATCAATGAATGATTTCTATTCACTCTGGATGTTATACCTAATTAAATTTGGGAAGAACTAAGGCAACCCATGTGATTATTAGAACAAGGAGGCAGATCGAAGCCTTAGAAAATAATCCCAAGTGTGTTACACAGGGTTCCCCAGAGAAACAGAACCAATAGGATATATAGACCCTTTAACAATGTGTGTGTGTGTGTGTGTGTGTGTGTGTGTGT